GCAGTATTGACATCTGAAGCTTCTCTTGAAAGAAACTGATGACTAAATGTCCGAACAAGCACGCATTTGTGAGGCTGAGCTATCCATCATGTAGGATGGCAAGCTTTGTTTATTGAAAATGGCGCCATGATTTCTTTCACCTACGCTTGGCTGTAAGAATAGCGGCGCAAACATTGTAATGGCTTTTTTATTTTGATTGGCTGCTTACATCATACGATTGTTTGATTCTCAGTTTTCATTGGTTTATTTCAGCGGGCTAAAATACATTTTAGCCTGCCCGCCAAATTCTCCATTTTAGCCCGCAAAATGCGCCACAATGCCTGACAAAGTGATAATAATAAATAATTCAATTATTGAACACACTCAATATGGTTTTAATTTTCGCAATATTTATCAAAATATAGTGGTAGATTAAAATATTGATTTTAAGTCAGAGAAATGTGTTTATCATACATCACGTTGACTTTTCCACCCTCTAAATTAAATACCGGATGACTAAAGCCAACTTTTGTCTAGTGTTTTCGAGTGTTGGCGTTTCAGTTGAGTGGGACGAATTAGAATGTAAATACATTGACTTAAGGTAATTCCCCTGAAATAAAACTGCCAATAGATTTTTGTTTAAACTTTGTCCACTGAATATTTATCATATGAGAACTTTAATTATAAAATAAAAAGGGGGGTGCCCATGCTCTTTAAGGGGCAGTGAGGCATTAAAAATGTCCCATTTTAGCATTATTTAATGCTTATTACAAGAACACATTCCAAGTTATTGTAAATTCTTTGTGAGCCCAGACTCATGAAAACACGCCTCAAACTACAGTCAATACTTGTGTCGGACACAAGTAAACTTTTTGAGTTTGATTTTGACAGACAGCTGAATCCTTGTTAAAATATTGGAACCAAATTGCTTGCCATGGCTATCAAACTGCAAAATAGAAAAGACTACAGTGCAGCTGCTATTTACCTTATTTATTCCATTTTCAACAATAGAAATCAGATCAGTCTTTTCTCAGGCAAAGCTAATGATTAGTTGATTAAAATGGCTGGAAAAAAATATGGGGTGCCCGAGCTTGTTAGTGAGCTATAGCCATTTTTCAACTGGCAGAACTCAATATCAAGGCAAATCTGCCACGTTTTCAATGTGCGCGTGCATGAACGTGCACTAATGATGCCATGAATTATGCTCAGTAAGGATGCGCAATGCAAATGTGAGGAATCACCTTAATAATGAAAGGGTCAAGTGTGGGATTAAGTTATTTTAAACAGGATCCCAATATCTTCAAGTCGCTAATCAAATATAAACCTGACAGTTCGGTCATTTATTGGACGTGAATACATTAGGTTTGAAGGGTGCTTTCTTTTCAACCAAAAATTGCAGAATGGAAATTAGATGGGACAGAAATTCCTGTTAAGAAATTTTTGAAAATCTGGGTGTAGTTAGTGAGGTTCTCCTCCTGTTCCAGAAATTGGGTAAAATGCTGTTCCATTTGCTGCTGGAATTTTCCTGAAATGCCAGAAACGAGAATTTTTGGTAGAATGTGAAGGGCTTGTAGACTCCCAGTAGATTGTGTCACTGTTTTTGAAGTAATATATCAAACACAAAAGACCGTGTTTGACCACATTTCCAAACATTGAGAGGAGAGTTGAAAATATGGTGCATAGCGGAGTATTTTTGATGAACTTTGAGGTGTTTGATGATGTGGTCAAACACTACCTTGAGTGTTTGTATATCTTCTCAATCAAAACTAAAACTCAGGAGAAAACAGAGAAATAAAATCGTAGAAATCTGTTACAGGGGCATAGCCAACATATAAGCCCTTAAGTACAGGCTTAACAAGAATTTCTGTAAATAATTGTTTTTTAGTAGCCAAAAGGCCATATTTTCTTTTTCTTACTGTCGAATAGCGAATCACCGCTATACCAACATTTTATTTTGAAAAACAAAATAATGACTTTACATGAAAAAATGCTGAAAGGTTATGCACACAAAAATTAATTGACTGTTGTTGTTGTTGTGTTTTTTTTTGGAAGTTGGCAAAATTTGGTATACGACTTACGCTGAACAATTTGGGTTTAAATGGAAAAAATGGCGGGCTACACCCCTGTATTATTAAGAACACTGTAATGTTCTTGTAGATACTGACCAAAATATTTTCTTTTTATCGTAGATATTATTTGCAAAAAGTCCTAAATGTTGAGCAGAACCCAGATCCTAAGAAGGGAAATCGTTTTCTTCTTGAACTTCAATTAGGTGTCCATGGATCAAATGAAAGCTTTCGTCTCTCGGAATATGTTTATGCTCCGATTGGGAAGGATGAACTCTGTTTTCCAGAAGGAATGGTGTGGCAGAAAAATGCAACCATTTACTTTATACTCCCTGTGAAAAACCAGGGCAAGTGGGTCCATCACTTTACATCTCAACTTGCAAACATGTCTNCGTTTCGATAATCACGTGATTTTCCTGATCGAGTTTTCCTCAAACACAAATCCAAAGTGACCGGGGCTACGTTTTCAAATTCCTCCGGCGTAGCGTGTACGGAAAACCGATTTGATGCATTTTCAGAGTGAAACCTCCGTTTTCAAATTCCTCCGGCGTAGTGTGGACAGAGCCTAGTCACAACCGTACTGGAAAAATTGCCATTGACGAAAAAAAAATCCATTTCGGGTCAAATTTCATTTCCAGGACATTCAACCCTTGAAGGTGTTTTATAGCGCGAAGATTTCATTCACTAACCAGACCATCTTTTCCCTCCAAGAACCGTCTGGGTAACATGCTCAAAGAAATCAAACCAGGACGAGCGAATGGATACGAAAAAATCAACACCTGATCATAAATGGAAACAAAACCTGACAAAAACAGACTCGAAACAAACAAACAAACGCACGAAAAACCACCAAGAAAACGAAAAACAGGCAACCTAAATAAATATAACAATGTGCTCCATTAAGTGAGACCAGGTGAAAAAGAAATTGCCCAACTTCACACTATAAAATAAAACTAGACTTAAAGTTATGGTTACCTCACAATTACGCAACAAGGAGGCCCTATTAGGGGCTTACGAGATATGGCATATTTCGGTAAAAAAACAATTAACGGGGTACAGTATAGTTGGGGGGAAAAAATAATGGTATATGGGATATGGGATATTTAGATCAGATAAAATGGGATATCGAGGAGAAAAATCGTTAATTTTTCCAATTGGAATTAACGGGATATTTAGGCCAAAAATTAATGGGATCTGGGATACCCCCCCCCCCTCGCTTCACACATAATGGGGCCTCCGATGTCAACAAGCATTCTCGATACATATTCATTTAACTAAGTTTGGATTCCACCAGCGCATAAGCATAAACATCGACAACATACACAGATGTAGAAAGGTGCTGTGAAGATCGCGCCTTTTTTAATGGATTTTCCCAATAAAACGCGGTGGTTATCTACATCTCACTGCCTTTGCGTATCTTATGCTTACGCGCAAGTGAAAACCATTCATAACCTTTATCAAATTAGAGTAAATCATTTCATACTAAATTATTGCTTTTCCAATCTAAAGAAACATTTCAAAGGCCCCAAAATGATAGCTAGTAACCGCACTTCTTTTCGAACGAAATCGAGACTTTGATTGGACTACTTTATGATAAAGGAAATCTTGGCTAAAAACCAGTCTTCTCCCCAGTCATAAATTGGTGATTTCGTAAAACTGTTTCAGAGGTTTGAAGTCGGTAATTCCCTGGTTCAAAGTGGAAATTTTGTATCTGCTTTAAGCTTTCAAATATTCTGCGCTCCGCCATGTTTGTTGCAAAGTTTGATGGGGGAGATTGCAACGTCAGTGCGTGGTCGTGCTCTCTCAAAAGGCAACATTGCTTGAGTTTATGAATATCCTGGATATATACGTGCTTACAATCGTTTCTAATGCCTGTTACAGCTAAAATAATGTATGATACTGTCGTAACTGAGAACCGAACCCTGCATTCGAACCAGTTACGCAGGTATCGACTCCAAACCCCAGAAGCAGTTAAAGAAAACCATTAACTATACTTTTGGTGTGATGCGATTCAGAATTTGAGTTAGTTGATCAATTGTCATTGCAAGCTTCGGCCCGTTGTCCTAAGCCTCGTGTAGGTATGCTTTTTGTGTTCCTCAAGAGAGACTTCAGAAAGGTAAAGAGAGAGCGAAACGCTCGCGCTTTGTTCCGTAACGCTTCCTTTAGCTTTCAGACATAAAACAGAAAACTTTCAAGGTCACAAAGATTAAACGGATCCATAAAAATAGACATCTTCATTTCATTTCGGTTAAACACCTCAGGTGTGAATTCGGTTTAAATTAGTACCCAGTCCTGACCCGCCAGGCTTCTCCGTGGCTGACCTGTAAAATCTTACTCCATTCATCTGCCAAGGTTTTTTTTTTATTTCTTCAGGTAGGCTCTGAACCCAGTTTCCATGATCACGTCAAACTGAAACAAAAGAGAAATGGTCCATTACTCATAAGCAACGAAAGCATTAGATGGTTAAAATTAAGGATAGAGGCTAAGAAACATTCACAGCGGTGACGTATTCAAGGAAAACTGGAGGTGATTCCTGTACGGCTTTCTCTCCGGCCCGCGCGTTCAATTGATTTCGTTGATTTATCTGAGACGAACAGCCGGGAGGGGTCGCTTCAGCCCGCGTGACCCGAATAACGATTGGCCGAGGCGAAATATCACGGCCTACGAACTAGGTAAGAGATAAACTGCTTCGTGCTACTCCGTGCATTGACTCCGCGCCGATTTTTTTCGTGCACTGTTACAAAGATTAATGCTAGAAATCCCGTATTGCGCCCTACTGGCGAGGACGTCACAGACAGCGAGGGTGGGAGGGAGAAAGTAGAGAGGAAGCAGAAAATCAGTTTCATAAAATACACATCTAACCGCTCCAAGCTGCCCTTCAACAAATTATGTCCTAACGTAAAATCACCGCGCCTGAGATGAATTTCGGGAAAAAAGCTAAACATTTTCATTGCTTCATATTATTTTCTNTAAAACACTTACTTCCTGTCTATTAATTGACCATGAATTTTCTGTTGAAAAGATACAAACAAAAATCTAATTAGATATGGCATAGAGGATCTCGTCAAGGTCTTGTCAGTCTCTGCAAGATCTTGGACAAGACATATGCTATGGTTTAACTCAGTGCTGTGCTATACCAAAAACGTCAAATTTGACATGGGTTTAAAATTATTTGAAACCAGTTCGATTTTTACTTCTCATTGTGATGTAAATATTATCATAATGTAAAATAATTTTGCATTTAAAACTCACAACAAGAAATCCCAACGTTTCGACCTCTCCAAGGTCATTTTCAAGTGCGAGCAAAAATATGTAAAATTAGCATAAATATGTTTCCAGAGTTAAAATACTTTAAAATGTCGCAAATGATAGAATGCAATAAAATAGGTAAGATGACCGATAAAAATATTTACGAAGTTAAAAAGGGGACCTAAAACAATGAGACAATAAAGAAGTAAAATAAACTGGTTTGAGGAAAATTTTGACCAAAAATAAAATTAACCACAACTGATACATGTAGGCCATTTTATATGAGGCAAATGAACTGAACATTACCATGATTTTGCTGAGTTTGTTGCCTTTTCTTTGGACCTCCATCAGCAAATTTCACAACTAGTGGTTCAGTGCTACCTACAGTGAAGATGAAAATAGCAAAAAATGTAAAACATTTTATTTGAGATCACTGTGACACCAGGGGTACCTTTATGATCAGAACAAACCAATCATATAAACCTTTTTCTGATTGATACAGATGAACAAACCGAATGCCTTGTAGGATTTCACATTTTGCAGATACCTTGCACCTGTACAAGATGGGTATGGCAGGAAACATTGACCAACTCGCCCAGACATCTTCCAGTCTGTCATATTAGCATTACATTTTCATTTGTTCTTAGGAACTGTTGTTTGACAGAAAGCACCTTAATGTATGTGAGTTCATTGGAGAACTTTCATACTGGAAATGATAGTCAAGTAATATATAGCAAGCAAAATACAAAGTATAAGTGGACATAGTACCTGGAATCTTATGTGCATTAAAGTCTTTAATTATTTGCTCACAAATCTGTGTATTTTCCATTCTGTAAGTAGAGATTTGAAGATTTAGATATAAATGAACTAACTACAGCAAAACAGTAAGTGAAAGAAATTGCAATTCAAGAAAGGAAATCAGGGGTGTATGGGTTATTGACCAAGTGTGAGGTCAAGATGGCTGGGCATTGGCCAAGTTCTTTTTTTCCGTGTTTGTTTGCACAAAAAAAGAATGAGGCCAATATCAAACCATCTTGACCGAACAAGCTTGGTCAATAAAGGATTTATTATATGACTTTCGCAGAAATTTTCTCGTAGGACACAGCAGGTAGTCCCAAGTGGGCAAAATAGCTCCATCTTGCCCACTCGGGTAGCCAATCACAGTGCAGGATTTGATTCATCTTGCCCGCTCACAGAGCTAGCCATATAATAAACTGCATTAGTATATACCACACAAGTGAATAGTACTTTTCACGCACACTGATTGGCTAGCTCAGAGGTGATTAGCCAAGTACTATTCACCCCCGAGCGCACAAATTTTTTGTCTGGCCATTTGTCGGTATATTGTCACAAATAAAGTTACTCTCTGGTCTGCTAGTTATTCAGCTTGTGTGGTATATACTAAAACAATTGTTCACCTCAGTGTTGGTGAAAGTGGCAGATATTTACCTCCACTTTGGTAAATAATTGTTAAATATCACACAGGTTTCAATAACGGCCAGGCACCAGGCAAATTGACAAGATGTGAGGATGATTTTGGCCACCTGATTTGACCATTTAAAGAAGTTCAGTGCAAAANGCTCCATCTTGCCCGCTCGGGTAGCCAATCACAGCGCAGGATTTGATTCATCTTGCCCACTCACAGAGCTACCCATATAATAAACTGCATTAGTACATATCACACAAGTGAATAGTAGTTTTCGCGCACACTGATTGGCTAGCTCAGACGTGATTAGCCAAGTACTATTCACCCCCGAGCGCACGAATTTTTTGTCCGGCCATTTGTTGGTATATTGTCATAAGTAAAGTTACTCTTTGGTCTGCTAGTTATTCAGCTTGTGCGGTATATACTAAAACAATTATTCACCTCAGTGTTGGTGAAAGTGGTGGATATTTACCTCCACTTCGGTAAATAATTGTTAAAGATCACACAGGTTTCATTAACGGCCAGGCACCAGGCAAATTGACAAGATGTGAGGATGAGTTTGGCCACCTGATTTGACCATTTAAAGAAGTTCAGTGCAAAAAGTTTTGCCTGTCTAAAACCAGTGCCTTCCTGTTGGAAACATTAATGAAACCCCTGACCAAAATTTTAAACTAAGTGTCAGTGAATGGGCAAAGGCAAAATAAAATTACACTTTTAACATACATAATATCACCACTGATGAATTAAACACCTTATTGATTGTGCTTGTAAACTGTATGTCATGGTCAATTGTCATGGTTAGTTGTTTTCTAATTCAAAGCCAGTTTGCTTTAAATATTTTCATTTCCTTAAGTTAGAAATAAAATCCTCAGGCATTAAGTTCCTTTTTCAACTTCTACAATTTATTACACAACCAGCATCTTGTTAATTAAGTCACAATAAATGCTAAAACCAGTCATAACAAGTATTGACAGTGAAGTTGTAGTAGTTGTGTTCCCAACAAAGTCAGCATCCAATAACAAAAAATGTAAAGTACCCGAAACAAAAATTAATTCATGATGTGAGAGTTTTTAAAAATTTTAAAAACTTACAAAACATGTAAAAAACATGTATGCCACATATCTGTTAAATTACAGTGTACCTTGCAAATCCTACACCTCTACTCTCATGGTCTGTATCTCTTAATATTCTTGTCGATATAACTTTGCCATATCTTCTCAGCAATGCTTCTAATTTCTGGGGACGCAAAATTAGCATTGAAGTTTAAAGCCTGTTTTACACATGCCACAGACATACAGGTCCTTTGGACATACAGCTGAACATGTACTGTCATTGTGCAATTCCAGAAAATATCCATACCCACCCCAAGGTAGGTTAATGGAAATTCCAACCAAGGAGGGGGTCTCAAAAACCAATAGTTTTCATGGAAAATATGAAGCTAAACCAGAATTTCCAGTAGGGTGAGGGTTCAATCTTAAAAACCTTCTGTGAGGGAAAGAGTATGGATATTTTCTGGAACATCACATTGCTGTAGATCCCAGTGTTATAAGCCCCAGGTGCACCCGCAGATACTATAAATGAACTTATATGTAGTGGGTAAATTTTGGATACTGAACTTTGTCTTGGAATGGAATGAATTCTGAGATACACATGTACATTCACACTGCCAGTATATAGCCAAATTCATTTAAACCCGTGAAGTTAACAATGAGCCACCTTAAGGTAAAGACCCAGGATATCTTCTTCTGATGTTGGCAGATCATGTTCTCAATCACTCAGACATTGGAAGTGTAGCCAGGTACATGTAGTACTAAAAGGAACCAGGCTAAAAACAANCTGACCAAAATTTTAAACTAAGTGTCAGTGAATGGGTAAAGGCAAAATAAAATTACACTTTTAACATACATAATATCACCACTGATGAATTAAACACCTTACTGATTGTGCTTGTAAACTGTATGTTGTGGTCAATTGTCATGATTAGTTGTTTTCTAATTCAAAGCCATCTTGCTTTCTAATGCAGTTTGCTTTAAATACTGTCATTTCGTTAAGTTAGAAATGAAATCTTCAGGCATTAAGTTCCTTTTTCAACTTCTACAATTTATTACACAACCAGCATCTTGTTAATTAAGTCACAATAAATGCTAAAACCAGTCATAACAAGTATTGACAGTGAAGTTGTAGTAGTTGTGTTCCCAACAAAGTCAGCATCCAATAACAAAAAATGTAAAGTACCCGAAACAAAAATTAATTCATGATGTGAGAGTTTTTAAAAATTTTAAAAACTTACAAAACATGTAAAAAACATGTATGCCACATATCTGTTAAATTACAGTGTACCTTGCAAATCCTACACCTCTACTCTCATGGTCTGTATCTCTTAATATTCTTGTCGATATAACTTTGCCGTATCTTCTCAGCAATGCTTCTAATTTCTGGGGATGCAAGTATAAAGCCTGTTTTACACATGCCACTGACATACAGGTCCTTTGGACATACAGCTGAACATGTACTGTCATTGTGCAATTCCAGAAAATAACCATACCCACCCCAAGGTAGGTTAATGGAAATTCCAACCAGGAGGGGGTCTCAAAAACCAATAGTTTTCAAGGAAAATATGAAGCTAAACCAGAATTTCCAGTAGGGTGAGGGTTCAATCTTAAAAACCTTCTGTGAGGGAAAGAGTATGGATATTTTCTGGAACATCACATTGCTGTAGATGCCAGTGTTATAAGCCGCAGGTGCACCCACGGATACTATAAATGAACTTATGTGTAGTGGGTAAATTTTGGATACTGAACTTTGTCTTGGAATGGAATGAATTCTGAGATACACATGTACATTCACACTGCCAGTATATAGCCAAATTCATTTAAACCCGTGAAGTTAACAATGAGCCACCTTAAGGTAAAGACCCAGGATATCTTCTTCTGATGTTGGCAGATCATGTTCTCAATCACTCAGACATTGGAAGTGTAGCCAGGTACATGTAGTACTAAAAGGAACCAGGCTAAAAACAATTTATTATCAATGATGATCTCATGACACAAATAAACAGACTTACTGCTTCATCAAAATTCTTTGGAAGATAAAGAAAATATAAATTTGTAGGGTCTTGTTCTTGTTGCTGTTAGAGAAAAAGATAACATGGATATTACATATTTAATTAGTTAACTAAAGATGACTTTATCACTACAGATATTTTGTATTCATTTTGTTTAATTCTAGCCAGAATTGGACACTAAAGAAATCACATTGGTACAATCCAGTTAAAAAAGATTAATACAACATAGTTCAGGTATAGCTTTCCCATTGCATATACCATTAAATTTTAATATGTTAATTCTCATGCTCTTTGAATGCCAGGTTAATAAATTGCATAATTTCAATTGTTCTAAGTCTAAAGGCATTCTGTTCATATTTTATCAAGTTTTCCAAAAAACTTTTGAATGCCACAGAATCGAAATGGATTTAAACGTACATCATTCAGCAGATTGAAATGATTTCTGCTGCTCAAAAACCTGCAGAGTGACAAATTGATTGTGATCTTGCACTGTACCTAACAACTGAAAGAATTCACTTAATTCATTGTTGTTGATTCACATCTGATGCAAATGCATATTAACATTATTATGCAGCTCTGTCAAACTGAAAACTGTTAAAATGTGGAAATGTAATTTTGTGACTTGTTATTGATAACATTGGGGTTTCATAACATCATATTACACTCTCATCACATTTTGGCACATGTTTGATCAGTATATCTTGCAAGGTTTCTTTAATTTGTATTGTATTTGCATAATATTTGCTTTAATTATGGTACACATCAGTTTTAAAATAAGGTAGCACTACTTAGGTAAAGGTTGTAATAAAATTATTGTATGTCATGGTTGAACTTTACATCAATCACTTTTGACATATGACATCCTAATGCCATATTGTTCATTAAAGAAAGGAAATCAATCAATTCCAAAGGAGCTTGCCATAATAAATTAAGCTCACAACATGAATCACTACATGATTCCTCACCACAAAAATGATCATTATTTGGCAAAGGAAATGACAGGAAGCACACATGACAAGGACAACACAACACCACATTTGTGTACCTTTGCCATCTGGGCTTGAATTCCTTTATTCTTCAGGGCTGTCACTGCCTTTTGTGCAACAGTAGGGGACTCGAAATCCACAAATCCATATCCTGTTGGAATAAAATGATTTATTATTCTACTCCTGCCAGTAATTAGCATTTTTTTCTAATGATAAATGTGGCTATTAATCAAGCATAAAATGAATAAATTAGTCAACTAATGGTAGGTTATTTCCTTTGTTGAAATTATGTTAAGTTGTGCTGCCTTGTTTACTTTTGTACATCAGTTATTTCATATGCACTGATTATCAGTGCAATACATATTATCGTGATTTTTATTGTACATCATTGTTTACAAATGTACGTCAAATTTGCAGAGCAGCCATTTACATGTAGTTAATTACTTTTCCTGGGCCTCAGAAATTCAAGAAACATGTAAACTAGGACCAAGAACTTGAGCTAAAACTTGCTAAAAAACAACAATTTTATACACTAACCTTTACATTTATTAGTGTTCTTATCTAGAATAGCTTTTGTTGAAATAATATTTCCATATCTGTGGATGAGATAATACCACATTGTGCAATCAAATAAAAAATACATAAGAACAACATAAAATAATATCTTAATTGGCCACTCCTTGAAGAGGCTTTGCAGGATAAAATAATAATACAATTTATATTGCAGAAATTTCATAAAAAGGTTCAAATGTGCTTAGCAACAATTGGATATGACAAAAGAAGTCAAAAAAAACGTTAATACAAATTTCTAATTTAAAAAAGAACTTCCTAATGATAAAAATGCTAAATAATAGAAACAACAATAGCAACAATTTTGGCAGTTCCTAGATAAAAGATAAATGAAGATAAAAATCCTAGACAATTTTCTCATATATTTCTCATAAAAACGATAAATAAACAGGGTGTGATTTTTTTTTAGTTTTGGCACTTCTGATTTTAAATGACAACATGACCTACAATTCATCATAATCCATGCTATTGGAGTCCAGAAATAGACAGATTTGGCTAACATGTTTACATCCTTATTGGCACCCAATTCAGATCATGTGATGACTCATTTGGGAGGTTACAACTGTTCTGTTTGTGCATACTCCCATGCAATCAGTTGTACGTGGCAAATTGCACAATTGTAACCTCCCAAATGAATCATCAAGTGGTCTGAATTGGCTAGCAACAAGGATGCAAACACATCAGCTAAATTTGTCTACTGGAGTTGGTATTTGCAGCAAGGCTCTGATTTACTTTCCTACACCCATATATCTGAACAGGTTATCAAGCCCTGTCCATGTCACTAACCTGCTACATAAATTATTTAAATCTTCATCAGTGGTCCCTGGTGAAAGGCCTCTAATGTAAAGGTTAGTTTTGCTAAGTTTCTCTTCAGATTCATCTTGACTATCACTAGCTGATAAACTTCTCTGGCTGGAATTTGGAGGTGGACTACTTGGTATGCTGTATGCCTGTAAAATGGTCAGAATACATTCAATTATTATTTTTACAATAACTGCGGAAATTCTTGCGCGCTCATTGGCTAATTTTCATCGTCAATAAGCGGACAAATGCATGAATTTATAGTTTATGCAATGTGTCAACAAGTGAGAGCAGACAATTTTACAATTTGTCATCGTAAAAAACAAATTGACCTCAGTTTTTCATGCATTTGTCCTGTTACTGACAATGAATTTCATCATAACATTGTCAAAGTAGTCTGCAGATCCACTCGGCTATCGCCTTGCTACTTTGACAATGTTATGACAAAATTTATGATCAATAGCAGGACAGATGAAAAACAGGCATTAATTTGTTAAATGGAAAGTAGTCTTGAGGTTATTCCAAATGTTCTGATTGGTTCTTTCTTGAGATCATTTCTACAGAAACGGTCATAAGCCGTGTAATTTTTTTTGTTTTTTTGAAAGCCAGCAAATTGAACGTCAAGCACAACCTGACTGCCATATAATAAAATACTAACTAACATTGCTTGCTTGAGCTGTACTAGCAAATATTGGCCCTTGGTCATTTTTGTATGGACCTTGCTTTGCTCGGTCCGTACTGCCACAACTTCAGGCCAATATTCCCCATTACAAGGTTAATAAGAAACTTCCCACAGATGATTTTTTTGTTCTGGTGTGCAGGATGTTCAGGGTCGGATCTAAGNCCCCCCCCCCGAGATGAAGCCTTCTTCACATTCGCATTTAAAATTTGTTTACCTCACCAACCAGTTACACCATTCCTTAGTGGTGCACCCCCTCCTAAGAAAAATCCTGGATCTGCCCCTGATGTTTGGCACTTATTTGAATGTAATACTGTACATGTACATGCAAGTTCCAACAAGGCTCTTGAAGCTTAATGGTAGAGTACCCTGTCTATAATGCTCAACACCATGGGTTTTACTCCTGTTACTGAGGAGTTTGTCAAAGTTCTAGGGAACTTCGTCAATGTATAAACTTTATTAAATCGAAATTAAAGACTCATCTTTTTAAACTTATATTAGGAGTAGTAGTTGTAATCTATGTATGTATAAGTTTGATTAACCTTAATAATATTCCTTTCAATTAGTTTCAAATCTTACTAGACAAGTTTTGAATATTTTAGATTTCAGTGTAACGTGTTTAGGACAACAATGTACATGTATAACCACTATATGACAGTTTATTATTACATAAGTATATTAAAATTCAGCATGGCAGTAAGGCCTAGACAACTCAAAGGAAATTGAATGAGTATGTTTATTTATTTCTCTTGTTTGCACCTCCAGACTTCGCTATCAAGAAAAATTTTAATATATCAAAAGTAGTCTATATTTTGTAGCCCTTTCCAATGTAAATTAAATTAAAACCTCAATTGCATAATAGTAAATTAGGCAATACAGTGAACTATCTATTATTAATCAAGAATTCAACGGAATTTCATATGTTGTATCATTCCAGTGAAGACAGACTAATAACCCTGNTAGTTACTATTTATTAATTAAAGGACCATCATTTTGTCTGGGACATCAAAATACGAATTATTACAAATGCCACAATCAGTTTCTGTTTATCGTCAAAGAGGGATGCAGAGACTGCATAACTGCTACAATCTCCAGTGCAGTTCTTGCTTTAAGCATGCATGGCTAATGCATGCCAAGTTTAATTGCCGTAGCTGGCTTTTATCTCCTATTTTACAGTATTCCCTAATTTCTACAGACTCAAGGATTCTTGTCCAGCACAACTTGCTTCTCACTTGGTTCCCATGCCCATCCCACCCTCCATCTGTCTCTATGGTTACCAATTATATCCCACTAGCATTTTTCTACCGGCGATCAATTTGCCTGACTTCTGAAAATTATTCTTTACTGCCTCTGAGCTGTTATGATTGCTCCAAGGCCATAAATGTACTGCATAAATAGTTTTTCTCACTTACCCCTGGATGTGGGTAGCCATACACTGGGGCTGCTGGTGGGAAGCGTGGCGATGTGAATCCTACGTGAGGCCATGAGGGGTATGCTTGCCATGTTCCTGCTGCACTTGTACGAATGTTTCGTCCACCATGATATGTCTTTTGCTGTTGCTGCTGCTGCAATTGAGTTCAGAGAAACTTTTGCATGTAACAAGATGTATTCCATAGAGAACTGTTAAACAGCACACAACATAAACTGTGTTCTCAAAATACCAATAGAACATTGGTATTTTAAACCATGTTTGTCTAACTATTCCCTAATATCCATCATATGTACAGGCAGAGACACAGTTTGTGGAAGTTAAGTGTGCTTGGTTTATTAAAGAAGGACAATGCAAGTGGAAGAAATCACCCTCTTGACCACACTATTTCCTGAGTCCAGTGCGCAAACCATTAGACCACCATGCCTCAAAATAACACAATATTGACCCTTTAATACCCGGAAGATTTAAATGCAAATTTGATTAGCGTGGGCGTCTTAATTAAGGAGTTATCATCTCAATGGAGACATTCTGACAATGATTTGCAATCACGTTATCCCGAAGAGAATTATAAAAAAAAAAATACATTTGAACCTCTTTAATACAGACACCAGTGTGAAGCTTACATGTATTTTATGGAGTTAAAAATGAAAGAATTCTGGTAGTGAAGTGTTCATAATACAGTCAAACTTGTATATAACGGCCCTGTATATAGCGGTCACCCTGTGTATAACGGTCACTGAACAACTTCCCAAAAATCATCTCTTATATTTACTGTTAAGTTGACCTGCATATAGCGGTCACCTGTATATAACAGACGCCGTCACTCTTTAGACTTCCTGAATCCACAATTTCATTATCTTTTACCTGTATATAATGGTCACAAAATTGGGTTATACAATTAACGAATAATGACAAGCTTTATTCATAAGCTCGTTAAATAGCAGCCACCAAGGCAGAGGTCTCACAAAAATACACATATTAGTACTTAAAACACAATTACTAATACTTGTCATCACCTACATCCGACAAATGCTTGCGGCAGATAACATTAAAGTGTTGTCACTTTCAAACAATAGTTACTGTAAATGTAACAACACAACCGTACCACACTGTTTTCACTTTTGTCATATTCCCCTGATTATAACACTGTACTGTACTTATCTGTCTCAAATTGTTGTCAATAAATGTAAATTGAGTGATTTTCCACTTGAAAACGTTGTTCATTAGTTTTCAGTAGACTTTTACTGCACCTCCCTAAAAGTACTCTACAGACATTTTATGGGCCTTTTTATCAAGTTTATTGCGTTGCTGTTACTCATTCTTGTCAACAAAACATAAAATGAGTGATTATCTGCACATAAAAATGCTATTTATTAACTTCCAGGGGAGTTTAAAGCAAACCTGTGTATAGCGGTCACCCTGTATATAGCAGTCACCTGGCCATTTCCCAAGGGTGACTGTCATATACAGGCTTAACTGTACAGACGTGTCTGTGTTATGGAGGTGTCTCTAAGGAGTGGTTTAGTTGTAGATAACATTGAGAAAATTGAATGAATGAATTCAAAGAGTCAAGGTGTCCTTAGCAGGCATATTGTGATGTTTCTTCTCGATACAGTGGAACCTCTGGTTGTAACCACCTCTCCTCAGCAACCAGTTTTCCAAAATACCAAACGTTTCCAAGTCAAATCACTGCATTTGGAACCCCTTGTAAGCAACCACCTCTCGTAAACGGCCACGACCACTTTTAGAGCTAAAAGTTTGACATTTTCTTTTGTTCTTAACCTGCCTTAAATGACCACTTGACAGATAATAGAGCGAAAATTGAATAAGNGTGAGCTTTCAGTGAAATGTTTGCTACGCACAAAAGATCGTCACCAACAATGCCGTGCAAAATTATAATCTGGCCACAGATAAGCACTCGCACAAATCCACGGCCCGAAAATGTGGCCGGCGGAGCCAGGATGTACGTTTTGAATCCTGCATTGTGATTTTGTGTACAATTTGACACCGAAAACGCGGGAATGTAGAGAATTCGCGGCAAGTCAGTGGCCGTAACACGCGAACAAAACCAACAAACATGACCGAGATTTCATTATTCATGAACATGCCATAAACGCAAGCTTTAAAAAAACGAAACCAAAACACGCCAGCCGCCGCGCTCTGGCTTTTAACAGCGCTTTTCTGGAAGAGGCGAAACTCTACGGCCTGTCACATGACAAACGGATGTGGTCTGTTACACTAGAATATCTGTGATGAAGATACCTTCTTGTCATCTCTTTCCTGTCCGTTTTTGTTGCGATTTTCCGCCTCCGCGGCTGACGTTTCGTTGTCTTCCAGCGCTTCTCCTTCTTGTAACTCCCTGCTCGCGTGATCTTGTGCCGCCGCTGGGTCGTGCGTAGTGTGTGAGGCGTGCGATTCACCGTCCTTGGCGTGCGTGCGTTCCTTGTTGCCTGTACGATCAGTTGTCATCGTTGATGTCTCCAGAACTTCAACCAATGAATCGCTCATTATACGCCTACAATCCTACAACTGATCGAGGGCCTCTTCATTCCAGTCGCCCTGAATCTGAAAGGAAACCGAAAAGAGAGTTGCGTCAGAACGACTCAAAATGCGACTACGGCGTTTGGGGCCCCACTTCAGAGCAGGACAAGATACTAGATTTGTTGCCGTACAAGAGGACTTGTGTGATAGGAGCGTGTTTTCAAAATGCGTCTTGTTACTGATTCAAGCTTTACTTCTTGCCGCGATATCTAGCACAAATCGCTTTCCTCCGCGAAGAGCAGTGTCCGTCAATTGCAATGTCCCCGAATGAGGGATCTACGTCTCTAAAACTTCACTTTCTGTGGCTTGGCGAAGCAGGAGCAACTTCGAACGGACGTAAACAAACCAAACACACGTGGCCACGGATGGGTTCCACTGGGTGAACTCTATGTTCCGATCACAAAATGGCTTATCTCCTTTCATAAAAATAAACTACAACGAACCCGGTGCTTTTACCCGTGTTTTGAGTATAAACTGCGTACTGCAATGACATCGATCGGTTCCCAAACGCCTCTACGATCTACAATGCCGTGACGCCATGCGATTTAGTTTCCCGCCCCATGCGCGCTTCATGTAAACCTACTCGCATTAGCTAACCTCTGAACGTCAACTACATACAGTACATGAAACACGCAAACTCCTCGTTCGTGAACTCGACCGCCAACAAATCACAAATTGCTACCTTTTCTTCATCCCTTGAGCACGTGACGCCACTCAGCCAATGAGAGGCCCGGCGGGAAAGCTTTTCAGCGGGGGCCCATAATCGGTAAATGATTTATCGTAAGGAGAGCTAGCGCCATCGAGACGGGAGCCCCGCTGTCGACGAGTGTGGGTATTTATAAACTATCGCCGTAGAGGCCTCTGCTATTGTGCATCGGAGAAACGAGAGGAACGAAGAAACGAACCTTTTGTGCGATTTTCTGCATGGCGTCGCTAAGCTCAAAAGTAGTAGCGAACAATGGAACCCTGTCAGCTGTCAATAAGACTTTGTGTTTGACAAGAGCACAGCCAATGGCATAGTCGCATTTGGTTTGTTTACTTGTCGCTCTCTTCACTCGCAATGTAACAATGGGTAAGCAATTGAATGAACCTCACGCTTCGAAATGGCCCTAAACACGCGGCTTGATTTGCTGCGAGGTATTCGCTGCGTGAAAAGTTCGAAAGTGAATTACAACCGAGCACGCCTTAGTTGCAACTGGCCAAGCGTCTAGTGACCGAGATATAAACTGAGTTAACACTTGTGCTAATCTCGTCACAGTGCATAGGATTTGACCGTGACAATTAAAATCCACCTTTTCTTCAGTTAATAGCGACCTGCAAAACGCTTGTTCTCTTATAAGAACTTCACGTCAAATCCTTTAGACTCCTCTTTGAAGTATTTCACTTGAGATATTGGTGTGCAAATGTCAGAACGATATCCAAAGAAACGCGCCTTCTTTCTCCCCTTCATTTCTGACTGTGGGAACAAGTGAACTGTTCCGAGATGTGTAGCGGACGGTGAAATTTCCTACCTTGTTCGTTCTTCATGTTTGACAGGGATAGGATATGGGGGCTTTGGCGGGTTAAAAGGGACTTTCGGCAGAAAGCCGGCATTGAGAGGATAAAAATCTCTGGTTGGCCTTCTAGAAGATCTCGTAAACAAATTCAAAATAGCTACAGAGTATTATAAGCCAGAGAGATCTATAACAAATGAATGAGGGGGCATTCAGTATTCAAAATATTTTAGCACCACATCGCCCCACGTACAAGATGTAACGAGTTTCGCGCTGCGCAAGTGACATTCAATTTTACCTTGATGTCGCAGCGGTGGGGCCGGTAATCCTTTTTGAAATATCCTTGAGAAACCAGCAGGAAAATATCGAGAACACGTCCAGTGATAAACCGTTAGATTGCAAACGAGAACAAAGAGCGACCCTTTGGAATCTCTCGCTACGCCAGAGTGATTTCGTGAATAATTGATGAAAGACCCTCTTTGAAATCGTTTGATTTCCATTTACCACCATATAAACACACATTAAATATTTCTGAGGTTGTTCTTAGAAGCCTTAGTGCGGATTCAACCAACAGGCTGTGGTAAGAAGACGATAGTTTTACAGGCAAACATAGGAATTGTAGAGATAAACTTTGTGCGAAAAAGTGGAAAAGTACGCGAACTACGAAACGAAATCAGAGAACTCGGAGAAATCATTTAAAAATGTCGTGATTTCGACACAAAAAGAATGGTTTTTCATAGAACCTGTAATAATCTTCACGTTAGTTATATTTAGCACGCCATTGTCCCAGTTTTTTGGAAGGGTTACAAGAGTACAAAATCGTAAGACTGTATCACAAAAAACGAAAGTATTTCTAATGGCCGTTGACAGTAAATCGAAGGTTTCACGCTAAGATTCTTCTCCAGAAGGGTTTATCGGCAAACTCTGTAACGAACTGGTTTTGCTAATGAAAGGTCGATTTTAAATAAGTCTTGACTTTGACACTTTTAGTTGATGTGTTTGTCCTTGTTTCGCCCAAACAAATAAAGTTGTGAGAACTCACTCAGTCGTTAATTTTTATGAACCTGTTAACAGTGGTTATATTTGTCATGAGAATTGACCTTATCTGTCAAAATTGCTAGAGAATTACTAGCAAAATCATCAAATGTAGGTAACCTAAAAAAAAAAACACATTGATAAATGCACCAATAGTTGTTCCAGCGAAGTTTTCGTCCTTTCTACGACGTTACTCAGTAAAAAACTGTAAAGTCGTTTCAACCAATCTTTCTTGACAATTTTGTTCACAAAATACCAAAAAGAAGAACCATGTTCGAAATTCTAAACAATTCAAGAGCAAAACAAATGAACTCTTCTTAATTTAACTTAGCGAAGTGTCAAAGCACACAATAAAACATCGCCGCGGTAAAGTTGTTCGTCATTGTATTGACGGTACTGAGTTCGTGTAACTCCGTCCACTAATGCTTCTTACTCCTTATGCAGACAGCTTGAAACATAAATAGCTGTAGGCTCAATTCTCGATTATTAAATTCGGTAATTTGGAATGAAACTTTTATTCTACTAAAACAACATTATTCACCTAACAACGAGCGCTTCGTTCTGAAGAAATCAAATGTCTAATTGCGGACCTTTTAATTTATATACTTCATTGCAAGTATGAACAAAAATGACAGATTAACGTCTCCCGTTTGTTAGGCGATTGCTGATCAACCACCGAACATTTACGTTGGGTGAATTAATAAAATTGCTTCAGGGATCACAAAATGTTTAGAGCTATATTAAGTTGGCTTGAAAGAGCGATACAAAAGCCATAAAATTAGCTTTGTACACTATGTAATCCTGTGACGGACTTAAACGTGTGAAGATTCCTTGAATGTCAAGGTTTTCGAGTTTTATACATTTGTTGCGTCTTGAACAAATACTCGCTTAATGTATCGATAGGACAGGATGTAAAAAAGCAACTTATCAAAACTCAAACGAAGATATAATTAATGAAACGATTTCACAAAGAAAACAATCTTTAAAAAAGCTGGAGCAAAACTGCAAAGCTTTCCTTTTATTGATCATGCTATTCGCAAGAATAATAAATTCTTCGTGTCACCCTCAAAACAGGGCAGGCAAGTAAAAGAAATTTGAAATGCATTCTCATGATCAGTTTTGAGTGTCACTGAAGAATGTCTTTGAAAGGTAACTTTTTCTAGTTATATTTGTTATTAGCTTCATGAAAAAACTCAGTTAATGTTTCATTACAGTAGGATATAAAAAGGCGAGTTGTCAAAGCGCAAATGAAAATGTATCCATTAAACAGATTTCACAAAGAAAACATCTTTAAATACGCTTGTGTGAAACTATAAAGTTGTGTGTTTATCGTTCAATACTTTCTGTACAAGTAAATTCACAATTTAAATTCTTCAACTCACACAAAAAACTATAGCTTTGGAATCAAACAGGGTAGGTATGTAAAAGAAATTTGAAATGCATTGAGACGAAAAGAACTTGTCCACTTTGTCCTGTATTTTACAGTCTTCACAATGCTTCACCACGCTAAAAACTTGTCAACTGAAACACCCATAACATGTACACCTTTTGTTTCATGATATAGCTCGGCAGAAACGCTCCTTTTTGTATGTATCGAGATATATATCAAGCTACATCTTGACTCTATACAGTTAAGTCATTCAAATGTACAACCCCGCAACCTAAAACTGAAAAATTCAATCTACATCTTTCCAGACTTTGTGCCTGGTTGACAATGGAAATAACACACTGTAGGCTGTTACACTTCGTCGTGTTGGTGTTCCGTTGATTTGTACACAAAAACCTCGTCGATTTTTAAGTGCAAGGCCGCGCCAAAAACCCGGGCAGACCCCACATTGAGCTCGACTAGACAATTCAATCACGACTCCATCATCAGCCAAAGCTACAGAGTACATGCATGCGAGAAGATACCCTACACTCGCATTGTCACCGAAGAACTCCTAGACTAACGCAGACATAAGCTCTTGGCTTGCAGCTATTCTGCATTTTGCGATTACGATCACAGTGCTAAAGTACTTCTCTTAGCTTGGGCCAACTACAGAGGCCTAGAAAAATAATGCTTAATAGCTTGCGTGTCGAAATCTGATGAAATTCGCAACGAAGGAAACTTTTCAGCGGTGTATTTCACCCGGGTAAAGTGCAGAAACATTTTGTCTGGTTTTTCTGAGGAAAAGCGACCTTTTGTCATTTTGATGGCGGAGAAGTTTTCACGGTGTACTATAAAAATAAAACACATATTTTGCTGAAAAGTGATAATCTTTTCATAATATCCAAGTAATGAAATAGATGGCACTATTTGTGCGAAATGTAACCAAACAAGCATGGCTTGTAAGAAATAATTTTAACGAAGTGTTATTAATAATATCGTTAATAACCTAGGAATATTAAAATAACTTGGCTTTTTTGTTGGTTGCCGAGGACTTGTGCTGTGAAAAAAAG